ATCGCTCAAAGCGAACCGTCCGGACAAGACACTTGGTTCTTGGACAGTTGCTGCGGACAACACATGTGCTCCTCAGGACGCTTCGTTCAACGCGAACATCGACTTCAATGAGAGGTCGTCATCACAGTCGCCAACAACCAGAACCTGCACACACGACGACAAGGAGTAGTTCAACTTCAGTCACGAGAGACAAATGTTATATTGCACATGTCAAAAGTGCTAATCGCTGAGGGACTTGGCTACAACTTACTGAGCGTCAGCCAGTTGATGGCGAAAGGCATCCACTTGGAAGCCGACAGCACCACCCAGGAGTTCAAGTTGTTCCACGGGAAGGGCGGTCTCTACATCGGAAAGGCGGTTTTGAAGAACAACGTCTTCGTCCTTGACTTCGTCCCAGACCTGGGCCCTGCAGACAGCGATGCCATCGTTAACTTCGCCGACTGGACACATCCCCCGGATCTCGACCCCGACTTCAGCCCGGAAGGCTTCTGGTATTCGCATACCATCCCTGAAGCAGAACGAACACGCGCGTTAGCAACAATTCAAAAATCGGCAGCAGCAGAGACAACATCAGCAGCAGCAGAGACAACATCGGCAGCAGCAGAGACATCATCGGCAGCAGCAGAACCAACGACACCAGTCTTCGTCGACGAAGCACCTCCAACACCCGCACAGCAGCTGAACCCAACTCAACGAGAAGTCCACAGAAGCGCAATCTTCGTCACCAGCTTCTACTCCAACTCCGACGCGTATCAACGCTCACCCGGACATCGCGCCCCCGAAGACATCTGGCATGCACGCACAGGACATCCAAGCAGCACTGTGTTAAACAATACAATAAGAGCAGGAGTCCTAGACAAGGATTCATTTCTACTACCCGACGGCAGAGAACTTCAACGGGCACGAGGAACTTGCCTCACCTGCCCCGAAGCCGACTTACCACATCGACCGTTTACTCCTCACCACAACCCGAGCGCACCCGCGTACGCACCACTCGAGAAGGTGTAGAGCGATATTCTCTTCAATCGAGAACCAGGACAAGTTATTTACAACTACACGATAACCTTCATCGACGCCGCCACTCGATACGTCTGGCACCTAAACCTACCCAGCCGCGACATGGCACTCGCAGCGTTCGCCGCCTGGCTACCAGTAGCAGAGAGAGAGTCGGGAACACAGCTGAAAAGCTTCCAGTCAGACGGAGGAGGAGAATACACCTCTCAGCGATTCAAGCAGTACCTGGCGGAAAGGGGAATCAAGCAACTTCTCTCCCTTCCCTACGCCCATCAGCAGCAAGGTGTCGCAGAAAGAATGAACAAGACCTTACAGAACAGCATGCGCAAACTGCTACGTGGCATGCGGCTACCCAACCACCAGTGGCCTGCAGCAATGGACCATGCTGGCATGCTGCACAACTTGTTGTCGTCGTCCTCACTTCCGAACAACGCATCACCGCATCTGCTGTGGACAAGGAAGCAGGGCTGCACAAAAATGTTACGAGTTTTCGGGTGCATGGTACAGTACCAACCCCCAGAAGCATGAGCAGGAAGATTTTCACAACAGGCACAGTGGGGACTACACCTCGGCATCGAAAATAATTACAACGCGTGGAAAATCTTCGACGTCCACTCCAAGGAAACAGTAGCAGCACGTGACGTGATCTTCTATGAACGACTCACGCTTCAGACGTACCTCGCCAACTCGCACGAAAATCAGGACCCCACTGGTGGCTTTCGTGGTGACCGAGCCTTCGCCTCAGCAGCGGACGAAGCAGACTGGGACGAGCAGACCATCGACAACGCATCAGAAGAAGCCGGACCTCTCCCGTTCTGCTCCGTCAACGTCCCCATGGACGAAGAAAATCCTCGCGAAAGCGCCAACGACGAAGTCTTCTACCACTTCGCCGACAATGGTTACGTAACACCTGCGACAGTCAACACCAACGAAGCAGAACTGATAGGGCCGAATTTCATACCCGACCCAGAAGCGGGAGATGAAGCAGCTTATCCCGAGGACGCAACACTCCCCCGATACTCACAGACTGGACTGCAGATTCTCGGCCTCGTCACCGCAGTCCACGGCAATGCTCTTCCTAAAGAGCCTGCGACGGTTCAGCAGGCTCTGGGAGGGGAACACAGGGAGAAATGGCGTGAAGCCATGGACAGAGAATTAAAGGCACTGGAGGAACGCAACACCTGGAAAGTCGTTCCCGCAAGCGTGGCAAGGAACAAGACCATTCTCACCGGGAAATGGGTCTTCCGCATCAAAACGAAAGTAGACGGCACAATCGAGAAATTCAAAGCACGCTGGGTCGTGCGTGGATTCGACCAGGAGCACGGACGGGACTTCACCGAGACATTCGCCCCGGTCAGCCGACATACCTCACTCCGAATTCTTCTCGCGATCGCCGCCATGAAGAAGAAGAAATTGCGACAAATTGATGTTGCCAACGCATTCCTCTACGCACCCGTCGACGCCGAAATCTTCGTCGAGCTCCCACACGGTACCCACGGGAAACCTAATCAGGTTTGCCAGCTGCTAAAATCGCTCTACGGAATCAAACAAGCCCCGCGGCTGTGGCAACAGCACCTACACACTCGCCTCACTCGCATCGGATTCCGCCAACTGCCTCACGACCAAGGGATGTATCGACTCACCAAAAACGCCGACTATATCCTGCTGATCGTCTACGTCGACGACCTACTCTACATTGGCTCCACCGACGACATTACCACCTGGTTCGAAGGGGAGCTGCAGAGGGACCTCACGCTCACGGTTTCCTCTACCGTCACTCAGTACCTCGGACTTAACATCCGCGAAGAAGAGAACGCAATCTACCTCAGCGCCGAAAAATATGCCGACACTATCGCCAAGCGCTTCTCGCTCACACCTACCACTATCTCCACGCCATACCGCTTCACGGCAGGGAACGACAAGGGTGGTTCCACTCTACTCAAAACCGCCGGAATACGCGACTATCAGCGAAAGCTGGGCTGCCTTCTCTTTGCAGCCGTCACCTGCCGCCCAGATCTGTCCTACTCCGCAAGTCAACTCGCCACCTACCTCAAGAGACCCGAAACAGAACACCAAGCGGAGCTCGACCGCGCACTACACTACTTCGTGAGCACCTCGACGATCGGCCTGACATACTACAAGATTAAAACTACACCGATGAAACTAATCGGCTACGTCGATGCCGATCACGCCGGCGATTCAGACAACAGGCGCTCCCGCACTGGCTACATCTACCGTCTCGAACCTATCGGACCTATCTCCTGGCAATCGAGCAAGCAGGAACTAATCGCTCTCTCTTCAGCTGAAGCAGAATATATCGCCCTCTGCTCAGCCACCAAGGAAGGACTCTATCTTCGCGAGCTGCTGGAAGAAGCAAAGTTAGCCGAGTTACCCAACTTCACTCTGTTCTGCAACAACCAATCTGCGATTCGCATCGCCAACAAGAGCGGATTCGCGAACAGAACGAAGCATATCGCTCTGCGATATTTCTTCGTGAAAGACGAGATCGAGAAGGGGAAACTCGAACTATCCTACTGTCCCACGTCTGAGATGGCAGCTGACTACTTGACAAAGAAACTCGGAAAACAGAAGTTCGAGTACTGCATGCTGCTGACTGGACAACGCCACGTCACCATCAGCGACACTCCAGAAGCGAAGGGGAGTGTTGGGAACAAAAAGTCTTAAGCGCCTCTGTCGTGTCGAAACTCAAGACACAAGCGAAGCAGCTCAAATCGAAGCACCGCGAGTCAACCCTCGAAGGTTAAGGTAACCGCTGGAGGCTACGCGAAGGTCAAAGGTCAGCGACCTTTGACTTGACAAATGCAGCGCGACAGCAAGGACATACAATTGACTCGCCATTGAGCAGTTGCCCGAGTCGCACTGTATCGAACCGCAACAGTAAAACAATTACAATTATGTCTCTTCATATTCTTTGTACCCATATATATTCATGTATCTCTTTGCTTTAATCAACTTACTTTGCCCTCACATACTAGCGCAAGGTGGTTCAAGGACTTTATTCAAACGCTTCCGCTATTACATCATCCTACTCAGACTTTAACTTGTCAAACATTATATATGTTCTGCTTGTGTAGGCTACAGTGGGTTAGCCTATAGGGGGTACACAATTCTAGGGTTTCCTACTTGTACTCATTTCACTGCTAGTTCATTCATTCCTGTTCGCTTATTCTCACATAACTCTACTAAAGATCCTAGGGCGTTTCAGCCCAACAGCCGTTACCCCTTTTGGCTGCCCATTTCATCTTCCAATCATGTGCACATTCTGCTTGCTTCTTGCCACCCCTGCTCCACTCCATCTGCTCACACCATCATCACTGTGACGGCACATCAGCTGCTGGTGCTGAGTGAGCCCGAGGCACTGCGCAAGCGCACCATGGACTACATCATCTCATTCCTGCCACCCCAGCGGCAAACCATCATTCTCACCTCCGGCTCCAAGCCAAAGGTAACGACAGCAATGTGGCTAATGCTTTCTGAACCTTTCTGGTGCTTTTCGTTTTCCAATCTTACTATGTGTGCTTCATGCCTTTCTGTCATTCTGTCGTTCTTGCTGCTGCGGTGCGGTGTGGATGAATATGCAGGTTAGACTAACGGCCAATCGCTCTCTTGCAAAGGAGTATGCACACGTTGATCTCTGACCTCTGATGCTCTCCTGCACACAGCATTTCCTCGGTGCTAAGGCTAATGCAACAACTTTCAAAGCAAGGAGACTTGAGGTCAATGCGAAGCCGCATTATCCTTCTTAACCAGACCTTTGCCAGATTGGACAGGTTCACGGAGCTCAGCGTTTGTTGTTGAAAGAGACGTGATAAGGCAGGTGAGATTGTAATCTACCATTCCAGGCTGCGATATTTCGGGGAGGGTAATAGAGTCGTAGTACGTTTCCGTATAGTAAAATACAGTATATATAGAATCCCCTGGGGTTATAACACAGTATTTGTTTGTTAATTTCCAAGCCGGGGTCACTAACTGCCAGCGGCCGTGGCATGCCCTCCCATGCTGTTACCATTCTCCACAATACACTCCGTCAACAAAACCTCCAACTCATACACCTCCCGCACTATCTGCACTGCTTGGGCCATGAGGTGAGCAGGCAGCTTGTCCGCCTTGGGGTTGGCCCCCGGCCTTTCCACCTCTTCAGGCTTTATTCCCTGCTGCGCCAGCCACCTCACCGCATCCCACTGCTGCTCTTTCGCTGCATGGTGTAACGGAGTCCCTGAAGGCGAGGAAGCAGGGAGGAGAGTGGAGGGAGACAGTAGGCGAGGAAGCAGGGAGGAGAGTGGAGGGAGACAGTAGGCGAGGAAGCAGGGAGAAGAGTGGAGAGAGACAGTAGGCGAGGAAGCAGGGAGGAGAGTGGAGAGAGACAGTAGGCGAGGAAGCAGGGAGGAGAGTGGAGAGAGACAGTAGGCGAGGAAGCAGGGAGGAGAGTGGAGAGAGACAGTAGGCGAGGAAGCAGGGAGGAGAGTGGAGAGAGACAGTAGGCGAGGAAGCAGGGAGGAGAGTGGAGAGAGACAGTAGGCGAGGAAGCAGGGAAGAGAGTGGAGGGAGGCGGTGGGGACAACAATAAAGGGAAGTGCGGGATTATTAGATGCGATGCATGCTCAAGCAGAAACAACAGTCAGAAACGAAAGAGGTGTAAACACCAGTTAATCTGTCACTCACAGCACTTTGTGGTGCGAGCACGGATGTCGGCACCATGACTTCGCAGCAACTGCATGCTCTCCACATGTCCCCCCAATGCTGCCAGGTGCATTGCCGTCGTGAGGGTATCTTTGCCCAGCTCTCCAATCGACATGCCCACCCCCACTAGCGCCTCCAGCTGCACAGGAATACAAGAGGGAGTGGTGGAGACGGAATGCGACAATGGGAAGCATGCTCGTCGCCGCACGCCCATATGCACGCACGGGTACCTTAAAGCTGAAGCACTGGGGCACATGGGAGGGAAAGTGACGTCTGTTCAATGATGAGCACACTCCGCTCCCTCCTCCCCTGCATGCCCAACCAGCAGTGTCGCCTACGGATGGAGGCACATGGTTTGGGTGGGATGCAGGCGAACCAAAGTTGAGGGGCGGTGGGCGCGTCACACTGTGATGGATGCAGAAGCAGAAAGAGTACGGGAAATGTGCAAGAGGTGTGACGAAGGAAGGGCATGCGATGAGGTGGGAGAGAGAGAGAGTGTACACAGCCCATCACGAGTGCAGAGGGACAGGGGATAGAAAGGACAGAGTGAAACAGAGCGATGGAAAGAAGAGGCTTAGAGGATTAGAGCGAAGTAGAGGGAGAGCTGTAGAGGGAGAGCTGTGAGGGAGGGGATAGAGGGATGGAGGGGAACAGGGGAACCGAGAAGCCACAGGTGAGAAGCTGAGGAAGAGGGAAAAGAAGAGAGGACGTTTTAGAGAATGTGAGATGAGATCTCACCACAGGTGTATTCCCTTGGCGCGCAGCGGAATGGATAAGCGTCCATCCATTCCCGTCGAATATGTGATGCAGCCCACTCATGCGCCCAACACCCAACTCCTGCAACAGGGTATTCAGATCCGCCTCCGGCAGACGTCGCCTGCCTTCGTTTGCCGATCCATGCGCATTCTCATTCGACTGACCCTCCCGAGTCGTCTCCGCCCCCACCACCCCCTCTCCTCGCACTCTTTCTGACACGAAAAGCACAACTTCCAAGAACAGATTCACTGCGTAAAGGTGGCATGGGCACTGGCAGGGAACTGAGGAGGGTGAGTCTGCGCAAAATGGAGGGAAATCGGAGGGCCAGGTAGGGCTCCAGGAGTGGGCGTGAGAGGGGCGGCGCGCAGAAGAGGGGGGTGTGTAGGTAGAGGAGGGGGGAGCAGAAGCCTGGGGTGGAGGTGTAGGTAGAGCAGAAGACGAAGGTGCAGGGAAGGCGAGTGGTGTGGAAAAGGGGGCAGTGCCGTGGGGGGACGCGGAGGAGGGTGGCGAGGAGCCGGAAGCGGTGTTATTATAGAAAGCATGAATATGTGTGGCAGTGGCAGGCGAGGTGAGTGCATGAGTGATGTCACGGCCAGCAGATGGACCAGATGCAACGACAGCAGGACCGGCGGGAGGGGTTGCAGCGGGAGCGGGAGCGGGATGATCGGAGGCAGTGGCAAGGGCAGCAGGGGGGCGGCGGGATGGCGACAGCTTCTCATAGCCGATGTGGATGAGAACAAGCGGGTGCAAGTGGCAATGGCGTGGCTGTGAGGCCGTGTCTCCTGGTGACGAGCGGGGGGATGACGACCACGGCCCTGGCTGCGCCGCCCCGCTCTGTGCCGCTGAAGGTGAGGGCGGCTGTGGCTCCGACACGATGGCGGCTGGTGACGTGCGCCACGAGCGGTGGCAGAGTGGGAGGGGTTCGGCAAGGTAGTACTTCCACGCGCTCAGAGAGGGTGGCTGGCAGGCCGGGTGACGGATGGCAGAAATGGAAAATAAGGTGGCAGGTTTACAAGGGATCTGGCAGAGGATATTGACAGAAGCAGCAGCGTCAGGAGACACCCTGAGCAGGAGGCAAGCATGGATGCACATGCACAATACCCGCATGCCCCAACCCCCCATGTGACACCTGCTCACTACTTACAGCTCCCTACACACACACGCGCGCACCTCATGTAAAGGCGGGACCTCTGTGTTGGGCAGATCAGCGTTGGGGAGGAAACAGGAGGAAGGATGGAGAGGTCAACAATTTCTTCAATCCATCGGTGGGATTTGGAAAAAAGGGGGCCATGGAGAAGTGCGGAAGCGGCGCAAGATGAGGGACGAGTCGAGAGAAGAATGCGAGGTGCGAAGCCAGTGGCGAACCTTGCGTGGCGAGTGCCCGGGCTGCTTGAGTCCAGCATGGCACGTGCCCAGCGATGTGCGCAGGCGACCGTCCCGGTCCCATCTGTTGGCAGGCAGCAGTGCCTTGAAGGCGGGCGGCACAGCGACTTTGACGGGCCTTGGTGGGTAGCTTGTGCGCCCGCTGAAGCTGTTCCAGGGTGTGTTGGGGCCTCGCGTGCTGCTGCTGTCGTCTAACAGAAAGAAGGTGCCTGCTGCCATAGAGGGGTGCGCATGGGGGTGGGCATGGTGGAGAGAGGGCATAAGGGGGTGAGCATAGCGGGGCGGACCAGAGAGTAAAGTTGAGTGCCATGGCTGCCGAGCAGCACAGCTCCGCTGAGCTCACGTTGGCAGAGAGCAGCCGAAACGATAACCACTCACCGTCGCACTCATTGCTTTCTTCCTCCCTCCCGTGTGCGTGCTGCACGCCCGTGCGCCTGCGCGCCCGCTCCGCAGCGAGCAGCTTCTTGACGGGCGGCATCTTGCAGAAGATGTCGAAGCCCAACTTCTCTTTGGGCCTGTGCGCGTCCGAGTCGGGCCAGTCGCACATGGCGTTCGCGACGAAGAGGCACGACGCGATGGCGTCGAGCTGCTGCTGCTCTGTCGTCGCCTCGCGAACGACGCGCGAGAGCCAATTAGAGAGATTCTCGACGCCGTCATCGTCGAATGCTGCCGCTGCTGCTTCTACTGCTGCTGCAGCCTCGTGTTGAGGCGTCTCAGAATCACGATAAACTGCTGCGTCGTCAAGGCTGAGATTCGCGATTTCTGCATCCATCGCAGCACATTCACGGCCGTCTCTCTGCTGCAAGTCCTTCGGCCCAGAACCAGAATCGAAACGTGCAGGAAAAGCACTAGTCTGCGTCGTCGCTACTCACTGAATGTGGAAAGCAAAGATGATATCAGGTCGTCCAAACCGCTCGAAGGGAACAGCAAAAGTGGTTCCAGGCCTCCAGGCGACCATCAGGTCGCACGAATGGCGCTCGGCATTCCCCGCGGCGCTACGGCACCGCACACAGGGATGTTCAGCCTTGGCCAATCTGAGCTCAGGCTGCGCGGCGTCGCGGGCTGCAAACACTACGCAACGCAACGCCATGCTCGCCGCCAAGACTGCGAACCTGCGAGACTGCGCGCCGGACATTGGGATGCTGCGCACGATGGCTCGATGCGATTCGATGTGGCTGACACCGCTCCATCATGTGCGTCGCATTCGAGGGTTCCCCACGAGATGCACCTGATGTTCGGCATGGGTGGTTACGATGCGACATGCGCTGACGCCTCTCCACGTGCACCGAGTTCAAAGGTTCCGATGGTCGCATCGCATTGTGTGGACGGCCGCGATGGAGGCTTGCCTGCATTCCATTCCACTGCGCCATGACACTGGTTGGTGTGGGGTGGGGTAGGGGGGAACCACAGACAAGGTGAAGGGCTCAGCATGCCTCGAGAGGTGAACGATGTGGATGGTGTGGTGAAACATCGGTAAAAGAAAACCGATAAGCGGAATTGCTACCCACACCGTGAATGTGGTACACAAGAGCAAAATTTGAAACTCCAATTCCAAAACCTGAGGAACACACTTGTGGCAGAACCCTGAACCCCTCGTACACGCCTGGTCAAGTCCCCGACTCCCCAGTGCACATGCAAATCAGTACAGCGAACACCGTGGTTGCTTTGCACCGTCGAGAGGGATCTCAGGCGATTAGGGCTCGAAATTTAGCGAATCCGTTCTTGATTAGAGTCGCTATCAGCGGCGCGCACCCATGGGTAGCATGGAATGTAACGCCTCTCGCGCTCGGGCTCGTTCGTGCGGTGCGCGCTTGCCGCTGTGATGCGCGGATCTGAAAGTATACGGCAGATCGCGACACGTTGCGCTTACGCGTCCACGTTAGCAGTGCGGCATTGGATCGTACCTGAAAACACGCACAGCCACCGTGACCTGCTTGTCGGAATCAGCAGCACGGCGCCTTTGCGCGCGTACAGGCTGCTCCGTTACAGTAGCTCTTCGATAGGAGCATTTCCAGGTCGTGCTAGCCCCGCTATTCCGTGGAAGCGCGATCCATGGTGGCGAGCGAGGCAGCCACGGGAGGGATTGAGGATTGCGTTGGCAGCCGCTGCAGACATTAAAGCAGCAGAGATTAAAGCAAAAGATATCAAAGCATTATCAGCAGCATCAGCATCGGCTTTATCATTACCTTCAGGGCTGCCGTCACCAGCACTTGGGACATCAGCAATTGGTGTTGGGGAAATGAGAAGGCAGGGTATCTGGGACGACATGGGAGGCAGAGGCGGCAGGGTGGAGCAGCTGTGGTGCGCGAGAGGAATGGATTCGCGGGTGTGGCTTGTGCATGAAGCGGGGTTGATAGTACCGAGTACGAGGTGGAGGGTGGGGACGTGGAGGGCGATGTGCCACGTGGCAAAGAAGCGAGGTTTTGTTGATGGAGACGAGGGAAAGGGAAAAAACGGAAAGGGGGAGAAGGGGAAAAAAAGAGAGATGGGGAAGGGGAAAAGTGGAAATGAGGGAAAGGTGATAAGAGGAGGCGAGGGAAAGGGGAGAAGAGGAGATGGGGAGAAGAGGAACGAAGCAGATGAAAGGAAGGGGGGTGAGGGGCAGGGCCAGGCAGGTGGTGCGGGCGATGGGAGAAAAGCGAGTGAAGGATTAGTGGGTGCGGAAGTCGAGGGCGCCGATGAGACGAGGCTGCACAGCCGGCGGAGGAGGAGGGGGAGGCCGCGGAAAGTGGGGCCTGGGCTAGATGCTGCCGTCCCGCCTGCCGGTGCTGGCAGGGAAGCGATTGGGCGTGCTGGTGGCAGCGACGGCAGTGCTTTGTGGAGCGATGGCGGTGTGAGGGAGCAGCAGCAGGATGAGATGGGTGGTGCTTCCGAGTTGGAGGAGGTCCACCATGGCCTCAGCAGCACTGCACGCTCTCATGATGGTATCGCTGCCCTTAACACCTTCTCCTCCACCCTCACACCCAACCCCACTGCCAACCCCACCCCCATCGCCATTCCCGCCTCCTCGCCGCCCCCATCTCTACATGTGCAGTTCCAAGACCTCTACTCCTCCCACCTCACGCACATTGCGCCGCCCTTCGCCTCGCACCGGGCCACGAGGGACAACGCCATGGCGCTGCTCGCCCTGCATCCCTCACCCCACACCGTTGCTGCCATCTTCCGCGCCTGCTCCTCGCTCTTCCTCGTGCCCCTCACCCACCGCATTCGGGCAGCTCTTGAGATCTTTTCTGCCCACGGGCTGCCCGAGTCGCTGTTTCTGAGTGTTATCCGGCGGGTGCCCGAGCTGATTCTGGATGCCCGGCTGGATGACGTCAGCAGCAACGGCAGCAACAGCAGAACCATTAGCAGCAGCAGCAGCAGCAGCAGCAGCAGCAGCAGCAGCAGCAGCATTAGCAGAACGAGCAGCAGTAGCAGCAATGACAGCAGCAACAAGAGCAGTGACAGCCATGAGATCGACTCCATTCCAGAGCAACAACACAGTTCGACTCACCGGCAGCAACCGCTGCTTGACCCAGAGCAGCAGCAGCAGCAACACACACTTGTACCTCTCTCTCACACCCACAGCCCTCCTGCCAGCCCCGCTCACTCTCACTTCCCCTCCACCGATCTCCCCCATCTACAGCAGGTGTTGCACTTCCTCTTCCTGCACCTCCCTCCCCCCACCGTCGCCAAGCTGCTGCACTCTACTGCCTGCCGTGTCTTCCGCACGCCCCTGCCCTCGCTCCTCCTGCACCTCTCTGCAATGCACTCTATTATCGCCCCCCCTCACTCGCTTCTCTTCCGCTACCCCCTCGCCCTCCGCTTCTCCCCTGAAATACTTAAACAGAGACTTTCCCGATTGGCTGAAATTGTGCCGCTGACAGAAGCGCAGGAGGGGGTGGGAGGTGAAAAGGGAAGTGGAGGAGAAGGAGAGGGGAACGCAAAATGGAGCGTACGGGGAAGGGTGAGGTTTGACTCTGCCTCGCTTCTTCCAGTCCCTCCTCTCGATCCTTCCCTTTCGTTTGCAGCGGATCCAGCGGTGCTCTCCCTCGTGCGCAAGCAACCGCACATCCTCCACGCCAGAAGGGAAACCATGCAGGAGGTGGTAACCACACTCACCACTCTCTTTGGCCCACAAGGCACCTCCTACGTGCTCTCCCGTCACCCAGCCCTGCTCACTGTGTCCCCTCGCACAATAGAAGATGCCATGTTCGGACTTATCGACATTTTTGGAGAGGAAGTTACCTTAGATATGATACAGCGCGAGCCGGGGATAATCCAGGTCCGGCACAGTACACTCCGGCCGAAGATTGATTTCGTGCTTGGGGAGATGATGCGCAGCAAGGAGGACATGAGGGTGTGGCCGAACGTGCTGCTGCGCAGCCTGCCGCGCATGCTGGTGCCGCGGTATTTCCTGGTGACGAGGAAGGACCGCCATGCCGCCAGGGTGCTGTCTCTGCCGTGCCTCTTCAGCAACTCTGACGCGCGGTTTAGGCGGAGATGGGAGGTCAGTGATGCGGACTGGAGCAAGGCACTTATGGTGGGAGAAGTGTGGGAAGCCAGGAGGAAGGAGGGTGTGTTGGGTGGTGCAAATCAGTGATCGAGGGTTACACGGTTCAAGCTTGGGGCTTGTATCCGGGGAAAAGTGGTACATAAAGCATTGCTTTACCTAGAATTCATAATGTATAACGGGCAAAGTGTAGTGCAGTTTTCACCGTTTTCCAACCAGGGTCTACCAAGCCAATGGCCATGTAGCCAAGATACACCACACCCTGATTGTCCAGGGTCACCACAAGCCAAGCTAGAGCCCTGCTCTGCTACCCGGCGGTCTTCAACTGCAAAGAACGTTCCTTTCTCTGGGGGATTACGGTACTCCGTACCCTCTTCACTACCATATTTGCACCGCCTTTGCCAGGAGGTCATCAGGCAGCACCCCCGGCGAGGGGTTGGTCGCCACCTCCTGGGGGTCTATTCCCTGCTGTGCCAGCCACTCCACTGCCTCCCACTTGCCCTGCCTCGCTGCGTCGTGCAGTGGGGTCCCTGTGGGAGTGGCACACGGGGGGAGCTGTTAAGACTAAGTCAAGGGAATGGGTGAGATTAGGTCAAGGTTGGGGTACAAGACTAGAGTGTCGAGAAAGTTTCTGTACCCCCTAGTGCTAACCCCCATACAGCCTAGATAACCTAAACATATATATGTATAATTTGACACACCCCCATAGGCGAAATGGGGGATAGCCAGAGCAAGCAACGGTCACAAGACCAGTCAAAAGAAGAAACAAAACACAGCTCAGGGTGGATCACAACGTCACCACGCAGTCTGAGCACAAGCAAAAAGGCCACAAGGCCAGTTCACATGCAGAGATATATAGATCACAGTACAAACAAAGCCTACAGCAAGTGAGGAAACATGGGCACAAGGCCTAACAAAGTACAGAAACGCTGATGATCACTAGGCTAAAGTGCCTTGGTCAATATATCAGCAGTGTTGGCCCGAGTGGCCACGTAAGCAAGACGAAGGTGACCACGCTGCTGTAGCTCTCGAGCAAGGAAGTAACGCAGAGCGATGTGCTTCGTTCTGTGCTCCAGTCTGTGCTCCTGACACAAGGCAATGGCGGCCTTGTTGTCGACGTACAGCACTGGAGGAGAACGAGGCCTCTCTCCCAAGTCGGTCAACAGGTAGGTGAGCCAGCGTAACTCCTGTGCAGCCATGGCTGTGGCGTAGATCTCAGCCTCACAACTGGAGCTGAGAACTGAAGACGAGCGTGTAGAACGCCAAGAAACCGAACCAGAGCCAAGGCTGAAGGTGTAACCCTGTGACGACCGCTGCGTAGCCAGGTCGTCAACCCAAGAAGCGTCTGAGTGCCCAGTGAGGACAACGTCGCTCCGTCCTCCAAGCACGAGCCCCATGCCCAATGTACTGCACAAATAGCGTAGTACCCTCTTAACATCATCCATGTGCACCTTTCGGTGCTGACCAGGAGCCACGTAGCGAGCCAGAAGGCCAAGAGGGTACGCAAGGTCAGGACGAGTGCAGGTCATCAGGTACATGAGGCAGCCCACTAGCTCTGGGTAAGGACCACTCGGCTCTACGGACTCGTCCGAAGGTGGAGCTGAGAGCAAGTGACCTGTAGCCAGAGGGGTGGGCTATGCCGAGGACCAGGTGAAGCCGAAGCGCTGAAGGACCTGCTGCACCATGTGTGACTGGGTCAGTGTGATGGTGCGGCGTGCTCTGTCCCGGGTGATCCGCAAGCCAAGATAGCTTGTCAGCTCACCCAGGTATGTGCACGTGTGTCTCTTCTGCAGCTCCGACTTCACCAGGGCGAGAGCCTCAGTGTCAGCAGTGGCAAAGACCAAGTCGTCGACGTACACAAGGATGAAGAACGGCGGCAGTGAAGTGTTGGTGCACAGAAACAGCGACGGGTCAGCAGTCGACGGAGAAAACCCAAGAGCCGCAAGTGTAGTCCTCAGTGTGTTGTGCCACTCACGCGGCGCCTGGCGAAGACCGTAGACCGGCCGCCGGAGGCTCCACTGGGTACCAGGAGGGAACGAACCAGTGAAGCCAGGTGGGCGGCGCAGCCAGATCTCCTCGTGCAGGCTGCCCTGTAAGAAAGCTGTGCTGAAGTCAAGAGAGTGAAGCTCATAGTCACGCTGGGCGGCAACGTGCAGCAGCACCCAAAGAGTGGTCATCTTCGGGGTGGGGGAGAAGGTCTGGAAGAAGTCAACCCCCTCTCGCTGACTGAAACCTCGAGCAACGTAAGGAGCCTTGAAGACAGGCGGAGAACCTGGCGACCGCTTCACCCTGAAAATCCACATGCCACTGACGATGTTCGCCTCAGGAGGGGGAACCTCGTCGACGTAGGTGCCTGTGGACTTCCAGGATGTCATCTCTGCATCCATGGCTGTCTGCGACTTAGAGGAGTACTCAGCCGCGATCGCCTCAGCGTAAGAGCGCGGGGTCGGGATGTCTGGTGCATCCGGGTCTCCCTCAGGGGCAAGCAGCATGGACACAAGATGAGGCGCAGCGGCTGCAAAACACTCAAGGTCGTCGTGCCTGTCCGCAAGGACGTCCGTGCTAAGAGCACACTCACCCCCGACGGACGGAGGACAGACAGACTCAGACTCAGCAACAAGACTAGCAGCGTAGTCTACACGACAGGCAGCAGCAAAGTCAACAAGCTCAGCGACTAAGGCAGACGCAGCAGAAGACTCAAACGACGGGTCACTGACAACAGTGGCTAGCAGACGCGTGACAGTAAGGTGCTCAGCACGAAACTGGTCAGACTCAGGGTTCGGAACAATAGGCAGAGAAGACGCAGGAGGAGTCGGCAGAGGAACACGCTGCGGAGGAGAGGAAGGACGACGGACTACAAGGGAAGGGCCGAGGACAGCCCGCTGACGCTGACGAGGAACACGAGCACAGGAACGACTAGAACAGACTGGTGAGACAGGATGCGACGCAGGCTCACGACGCACAGCAAGGCCCCCTGTCTGCTCAGCGTAAGGAGGAGGAGCAGGCAGAGGTGAGCCATGCTGTAACGGAAGACCAGTAGACGACGGGAGGCTAAGAACCTGGCGAAGTACGGAGTCAGGCGGTGGCAGAGACGACGGAGACGGGGGAGCAAAGAACAGGCGCGGCTGTGCAATGCCACCAGTACCAGCAGCTCCAGCACCCTTAGCAGCTCCAGTACCTCCAGCAGCTCCAGCACCCTCAGCAGCTCCAGCACCCTCAGCAGCTCCAGCACCCGCAGCAGCTCCCGTACCTCCAGCAGCTCCAGCAACCTCAGCAGCTCCAATACCCTCAGCAGCACCCCCAGAACCGGCACCTCCATGCCCAGGGTCTCCAGCCTCAGTGTCTCCAGCAGTAGCACCCCCAGACTCAGCAGCACCTCCAGCCCCAGCAGCTCCAGTACCTCCAGTACGAGCACCTCCGGGACCAGCACCACTCCCAGCTCCAGTGACGTCAGCAGAAGTACCTCTAGCGGCAGAGCCTCGAGCTCCAGAAGCGCGACCCTGACGGCTACCGTACGAGTCGTGCAGCTGCTGTGAGGTGAGAGGCACACGCGGACGAAGGCGGCTACCCCAAGGAGACCGCGCAATAGCAAACTCAGAAACCTCAGGCGTCACACCCCCAGACTCAGTACCCCTAGGCTCCTAACGCTCAGGCTCAGCACCTCCAGACACAGCACCCCCAGGCTCAGGACCTCCAGGCTCCTCACACTCAGGCTCAGCGCCCACAGACTCCGCACCCCCCAGCTCAGCACTTCCTGGGTCCTCACCCGCAGGCGCCGCGCCCCTAGGCTCAGCACCCCCAAGCTCCGCACCCCCAGGCTCACCACCAAGGTAGTCGTGAGCAGTAGGAAACTTGGCACGCCAGGCGCCGCTAAGCCGAGCGAAGCAGCGCTTCTCAGTGTGATAACCTGTGCACTGGCGACCAGTGCGGGGACCTGTGCGAATGATATAGGGGCAGCGACCAGGACCCCCAGAAGCCCCAAGCCCGGCATACCAGTCAAGAAGCTGCTGGGAAGTGGGGGTCTGGCGCTGATGCTGCTGCTGCTGCTGCGGCTGCTGCTGACCCTGACCACCACTACCACCACCGCTCCCTCCTCCCCCACCGCCGCTGCTACCCCCTCCACCACTCCCAGTGCCTCCGCCGCCCCCACCACCACCTCCACCGCCTCCACCCCCATGACCACCCCCACCACCTCCACCTCCCCCGCCGCCTGCACCACTGCCACCTCCACCGCCAGGAGGTCATCAGGCAGCACCCCCGGGAAGGGGTTGGTCTCCACCTCCTGGGGGTCTATTCCCTGCTGTGCCAGCCACTTCACTGCCTCCCACTTGCCCTGCCTCACTGCGTCGTGCAGTGGGGTCCCTGTGGGAGTGGCACACGGGGGGAGCGCAATGGGGGGAGCGGGCAGAGCGACAGTGGGAGGAAGGAATGAATGATGGGGAGAAGGTGGGTGGGAGGGAATAATAGGCAAGAAGCAGCTGCATTGTGCACAATAGTGCGGAGAGGAAGACGGTAGGGGGCAACAAAAGATGCTTCTCTGTACACTCACAGCATTTGTTAGTGCAAGCACGGATGTCAGCACCATAACGTTGCAACAATTTCATGCACGCCACATGCTCGCCCCACGCAGCTCGGTGCATGGGTGTGCTGCGGTTGTTGCAGCGCACGCTAACAGGCATGCCCAGGCCCAATAGCGCCTGCACCTGCAGTGGCATATGAAAGGGAGAGAGGGGGAGGGCGGTGGAGAGGGAGAGTGATTGCAGTGGCAACCACAGCTGGCGATGTGTGGTGGTGTGGGTGGCCTGGGGTTTGCAAAGTGAATGGAAGGTGGGCGAGTGATAAAGGTTGCAGCAATGTGATGCTGGCAGAGTGATGCTGGCAAACGCATCATGCGTTAACACATGCGTCATAGAGGTGCGATGCAGGCAGGGGCACGCAGGTCGGCGCATGCAGGAAGAAAGGGAGCACATGGGCAGGGCATAGGAGCAGAGGACGGTGCGAGGAAGGATGAAAAAGGGTTGTGAAACGCAGAGCGAAATGGAGAGGATGGGGGGAAAGGCAGACAAAAGACAGGTGAAAAGAGAGGAGGAAGGAAGAGGAAGGGTAAATCAAGAGAGGCAAAGAGAACCCACCACAAGTACATCCCCATCGCGAGCAGCAACGTGCAGCGCAATCCTTCCATACTCGTCAACAACAGTGTCTAGCTGCTTTGCATCAGCATCAACTCCCCATGTCTTCAGCATGCAATTCAGCTCCTTCACATCTTCATCTGACAGACCAGGCGCATCTGTATCAGCCAATTCTTGCACACTTGCATTCAACAGACCCTCTTTCGCCGCATTTGTTGACGCTCGCTGGGACACGAACGATATGATGTCCCTGATAAGCGATATCTCGACAGGCTTTGAGGGGTTGAGACGTGAGGGCAGGCGGCGAGGCGAGGCGCAAACAGGAGTGATGTCAAGTGCAACAAGTGCAGCAGTGGGAGACAGAGGGACGACAGCAGAACCGGAGGGAGAAGGTGGAGTGGAAGGGGCAAGAGCGGGTGCAGTGGCAAGGGCAGCAGGAGGGCGGTGGGGTGACGGCAGCTTTGAGTCGGGGACGTAGACGAGGGTGAGTGGCTGAAGGCGACTGGATGGTGATGGTGCTTGCAGCAGTGTGGATCGGCGGCACAGTGGAAGGGGCTTGCAGAGGTAAAACTCCCACGCACTGAGGACAGGCAGCTGACAAGCTGAACGATGCATGGCGAGCGATGCATGGCGTGGGATGCATGGCGTGGGATGGAGAGGGACACACAAGAGGGGTGGACAAGTCAGAGGACGGGTTATCGAGAAAAGGATATTGAAGGTGGCGAAATGGCAAGGGACAAGGAGGGCGAAGAAGACAGGAACGGTGAGACAAGAGACGAGATGAGGGAGACGGGATAGAATACTGTGGCGGCAACGAGGGAGGGAGGGGAGGGAGGGCAGAGCGAGGAGTGCACATTGGTGCCTTCAAACTTGGTTTGCGTGGAGTGGTAGTCAAGCAGGGTGGCACAGGAGCCATGCCGCAGGCTGGCAGCGGCGCTGGCAGAGAGCCACGGCAGCAGGTGGGGCAGCACATCCACCCTCGCGCTCCGTGCCCCGAGGCTCTTCACCACACCGAAGCTCTCCCAGTCCGGGGAGGAGGGGGCTCGCCTGTTACTGCGCTCCATAAGAAAGAATGTTCCTGCCAGCATCGAGCGGGGCGGGTGGTGCGCATGGGACGGAGGGGATGGGGGGAAGGGGACAGAGGGGGAAACGGGCGGGTGGAAAGGGGATAGGAGGGGAGGGCATATGGGGATGAGCATGGGGAATGGGCAGGGGGTGGCACGAGCGTATGGAGGCGAGGGATTGGCATAGATGCTTTCGAGCGACAGCTGCGCTGAGCTCACGTTGGCATGGCGCAGCTGAAACAACAGCCAGCCTTACCATGTCTCACCCACTCACCTGCAGCACCCACCCACCTCACACACGCTCACTCACCCCCAAAAATCCCGTGCACCTGCTGCATGCATGTGCGCCTGCCCAACCTTGTTCATCCACTCCCCGCTCACCCACACTCTCCTCGCCCCTTCCCCCCCATCGCCCCTCCCCGCTCACCCACCCGCTGGCTCACCGCGCATCTCAAGAGTCTCCGCGGCGGGCGGCAGGGTGCGGAGGACGCGGAAGCCGAACGCCCTTTGCGGCCTGTGCGCGTCCGAGTCGGGCCAGAAGCACATGGCGTTGGCGGCAAACAGAGTCGACACGATGGCGTCGAGCCGCTGCTGCTCTGTTGTCGCCTCGCGAACGTCGCGCGAGAGGCGAGCGAAAAGATCGTCGATGCCATCTTCGTCGGCTGCTGATGATGCCGCTATTGGTGCTTCATGGGACTCGTTTTTAAGTGCCTCGGTACTGTGATGCTGCTGTGTTGTCAACACCAAGACTCGCGAATTCGCAATGCAGGTCGGCCATCGGCACGCATCCACCGCCGTCTCTGTGCCGCAACAATGTCGCAAACGGATCGAGAGACCAGATCCTCGGACTCGCCGCAATTCTCGACGGCAAAACGCACTGCTGCTATTCTTCGTTGGACGCCACTCGCTGGCTGAATGGAAGTAAATGGGTGCAATGCGCCGACAGTGGGGCTCGTCTGAATTGCTCGAGAGAACGAGGTGATGGTGTGTTATGCTGGTCGTTCCTGGGCGCCACGCGACCATCGGCTGGCGTGTATGGTCGGTCACCACTTCCCGCTGCGCTGAACGATCCACTGCGTCACAAAGGGACGCACGGTCCCGCTGCAGTTTCGAGCCTTGACCAACTTATGCCGGTGCTATGCAAGGATGCGCACCAATCTCATGCTCAGGCTGAAGCCGTGAGGCATCTTCGCAACACAAGCCCCATTCGCCAGGATCCCTGGTGCTTGGAGCTTGTGCTAGGGCGTGGGAGTTAAGATGCCCTACCCACATAGGGGTTGTGATGCGACACACGATAAGCGACTTTCGTCCAGTCTGTTACGCGGTTAAGGCCCCGAGATTGGCTGGTTTCGCTAAACAAACAAAATGCTCGGATGAGGGCTTGCTGGTCGCCTGCGCGAACTAAAACGCCTGTATTGTAACACTATTTGCAAGGTCAGTCTTCTCTCATGGACATCCCTTAAGTGTGCATAAAGCCGACGGCACACCAGTCACGATTATCGCAAGCTTCGCACATCGTCCTACTAGTGTTCATCAGATGAGTGATGAGGTCTAGGGGGGCTGCTTGCGACAACGCCCAGCACCCAGGCGAGTTCATTCTCCTCACCAAACTCCGATTGAATAATATCAAGCGGATTCAAGGAAAAAAGCCAACGCTGATGTCCAAACTTTATCAAAATCACGTCCTCACGCAGCGCTGTTTATGAGCTGTAAGCTAACGCCATCCACGTAAGACAGTGTGAAGAAATGAGGAATGAATGAACTAGCAAGCAGGTGGGTACAAGTAGGAAAACCTAAAAGTGTTGTACCCCATATTCTCTACCCCACTACAGCCTAAAAAGACTATAGCATATGAAATTGACACACCCCCATAGGCAAAGTGGGGGAGAACAAGAGGTCACAAGACCAGTCAAGCAAAGCAAAGCAAGCTCAGGGTGGATCACAACGTCACCACACATTCTGAGCACAAGTTCAAGGCCACAAGGCTTGTTCACATGCAAGATCATATATAAAGGTAAACAAGCAAATGCAGGTTTGGCGATGGGAAATGCCGAAGGCAACGCGAGGAGCCTAGGCAGCGTTGAAATCGGCCGAACGTGCAAAGTCCGAAAATCGGGCTGTACGTGTGAAAATTAGAAGAGAGAAGGGGACTGCACTAGCAAGAATGGGGATACAAATAGCAAACCCTAGAAGGGTTGTACTCGCTATAGAGCACCCCACTACAGGCTAGAGCATAACATTCAGACACACCCCCATAGCCTAAGTGGGGTGTAATCAGCAGAGCAAGCAAAGCAGTACAAGCTCAGGGTGGATCACAATGTCACCACACATTCTGAGCACAAGTTCAAGAAGCAATAGTTTAAAGGGTACAATTATGAGCAAAGCTAGTGGTAGTCACAACGGGCAAGTGAGGTGGAGGAGAGAGAGTGAGAGGAGAGGAGATAGGAGGCGACCGCTGAAGCTGCAGACACACGGGCAACAGGAGGCAGACTGGCACAGCGACTACCGGACGAAGTCCCCGGAATACAAGAGTAACAGGCCCCATGGCTAAAGTAGCGGCAGACGAGCAACGGACCCACGGGCGGCTGGCACAGTTGGCTACGACTGGGCTACCGGACGAAGTCCCCGGAATACAAGTGCTGCTGGCGACACGACGGCAACCTCCATACAGCTTCCCCAAACTATCCCACTCCCCCTGGCACACACCCGCTGCTACACCGCTAGCTCCACTCCCACGCACCCCCCTTAAAACCTAAACCCCAGTCTCCCACACATCCACCCCCCTCAGCGACAGCTGCAGTAGTGGGAGACAAAGGAGGAGGAAGAGCAAAGGGAGGAATGCAGAAGTGCCACCCCCATACTCGCCACCCCCGACTCGCCACTCCCCAAACCCTAACACAGGCAGGGCGGGATGGCGGGTAGGGAGGTTACGGGGGAGGGGGGGGGGGGGGGGGGGAACCGACGCGCGGCCTCCCAGGGCGCCAAGACAGGCAGCAGAAGGGGCGGCGCTCGCCCCCTTCCCCCAGGGGCGGCCCCCGAGGGTCGCCTCGACAGGCGACGGGAAAAGGGGCCGCAGGCGGGGCCGGGGCCGGGACGGGCGGCGCACGGGCGGCGTGGGGCCCGGACAGCGGCATGGGGCCGGGACGGGCACCGCACGGGCGGCGACGGGCCTAGACAGCGGCACGGGGCCGGGACGGGCGGCGCAGGGGCGGCGACGGGCCGGGGCAGCTGCGCGGGGCCGGGACGGGCGGCGCACGGGCGGCGTGGGGCCGGGACGGGCGGCGCACGGGCGTCGACGGGCCGGGGCAGCTGCGCGGGGCCGGCGCGCGGGTCCCCGTCGCCCGTCGCAGCGCCTCCCGAGGGCGACGCGCCGAGCGACGAGGCAGAAGCCCGCCGCGCGCCTCGGGGCGCACAGCGGGCAGAGAACCGCCGCGCGCCTCGGGGCGCACGGCGGGAAGAAAAACTGCCGCACGCCACGGGGCGTGCGGCATAGAGAGTAGCAGTAGCAGTTGCAGCGGAAGCAACGAGGTGGTGGGCCCACCCACAGGATCGATCCAAGAGGATCGACCTGCTCTGATAGCATGTGAAAATTAGAAGAGAGAAGGGGACTGCACTAGCAAGAATGGGGATACAAATAGCAAACCCTAGAAGGGTTGTACTCGCTATAGAGCACCCCACTACAGGCTAGAGCATAACATTCTGACAGTACGCGTAGCAGTCAACCCCGATAAGGAATTCGAAAAATATCCTTACACTTCCCCCCCCCCCCCCCTTAAGAAAGGCGGTCGATATCCGAAACACCCTTGCGCGCCAAGTAATCACGAACAAGTGACGAGGCGTCGAGTAAGTCAGAATGCACCCAGGTGTCATCTTCACTGGCGCGGTCAGTCCAACGGATGATGAAATCCACGTGGCGGCCTGCTGCGTCAAGTCGAACCCGATGTGCCAAAATCTTCGAAGGTTCGAGAGTCGGCTCCGGGACAGGTCGTGCAGTTGGGGCAGCTTGTTGTTGCGCGATGTCGGTCGTGGCTGGCACGAACTTCCGAAGCAGGCTGACGTGGAAGGCGTCGTGAATTCGCCAGTCGTCGGGTAGTAGCAGCTTTGCGGTGACAGGTGTCACCATCTTGATAATCTTGAAGGGCCCACAAAATCGTGGCGGTAGTTTCAACGGGCCGGGCAGGTGCAGGTTCTTCGTGTCGAGTAGCACTAGTTGCCCAGTAGTCAAGACTAGTTCCTGGCGTAGAAGATCGGTGTATTTGCGGGGAGTGATATTCGCCTTGCGAATTACGTCTGCGGCTTTTTCTCGGGCTTCCTGGAGTTCCGTCACAAAAGTCTGTGACCTTGGGACCGGGTTGTCGAGAGTGGTTGCCGTAGGAACTGTCGGGTCCATCCCGTAATTCAGGAAAAACGGGGAGTGATTAGTCGTGCTGGACGGCGCGTTGTTGAAAGCAAACTCCAACATTGCGAGGAAATCTTCCCAGTGGGCGGGGTCGGGGCAGTTTATCCTGATCAGCTGCTCCATGGTTTGATTGGTCCGCTCGGTTTGACCGTCCGTCTGTGGGTGATATGCCGATGAGAACTGTGGCTTCGTGCCATACTGCGCCCACGTCTCCTTCAAAAACTTTGATGTGAACTTCGGGTCGCGGTCGCTGATGATCGCCGAAGGGATTCCGTGCAGTCGCACGACCGTTGAGATGAAGAGGCGCGCCGTTTCTTCGGCTGTGATTGTTGTTCGGCATGGGGCAAGTGCGCCATTTTCGTGAAGCGATCGACGACGACGAGCACCGCGTCGTTGCCGGACGGCCCAGCTGGCATCCCCGTGACGAAATCCATTGTCACCTGCTGCCACGGTCGTTCGGGTGGCTCGAGGGGTTGCAGCAGCCCAGCTGGTCGTTGACGTGTCGATTTCATAGCTTGGCACACCCTGCGTGAGGACACATATCGCTGCACGTCGTTAGAGGAGTCAGGCCAGTTATATTGACGGTGCAGTAATTTCTGGATTTTTGAATCGTGGACCTCTTGGA